TATACCATGCCCAGGTGCTGTTGACTTTGGACTTGCCCGTGTGGATTATTTAGACCAATAGAATACGGTTGAAAGTGACATGTATCTGCTTGGAGTGGAAGAGGTATAGCATGTTTCTGATGCTATATCTGCAATTCCACCCTCTGAGAGAAGAAAGGCCATGCCCTACATTGTGATTAGCTCTTCATTCTGTGTCCTCAAAGACATGTAGAGCAACCCTAAACCTGGAAGTGAGCCCGGCAGGACCCCATAGACAGCAGGAGAGCCATCTAATGACCTGGAAGCAGCAGGCAGTAAAGCCTTGGTTTTGGAGTGAAGCAGCCTGTTTCAGATCTTGGCTGTTCTACACAGTTACACCATGAATGGGTTGGGTGACCTTTGTCTTTCAGTTTTTGTCATGGACATTCTCAGTTTGACAGTGCTTTACTCACAGGTTGCTATGAAACGTATGCATCTCTCTCTAGCCAGAGTGAGGCTCCGGGTAAATACTCCAACATTCTTTCAGTCTTCCTTTGATAAGTCCCTTACGCCTCTAAACCCAAACCAGCAACATGGCCCAAGCTAAGATGGAAATCAACCAAGTTAAAATCATCATTAATAGTGGTGTTGATGAATAGTAACAATATTACTAAATAGGGTTTGATTAGTCAAAGTCTATGGCAGCTATTGCCTTAGAAGTGCTGTGAGGCTAAACTGTTCTTGGGGTACACAAACATTTGCCATCAAAGTGAGATGTTAGATATGGAAGGAACTTAAATGATGACTTAATCTTATCATTGCCCTTCAGGAATGAGGGAAATGAGGCCCAGAAACTTGAGTTGTCTTTCCCCAAACTAGTTAATAGCAAATCTGTCACTTAAACCAACAAAATGGTTTTATAAATAGTTTTATAGATGCACTGTCTGACATATTCAGAATATGCTTCTGGCCGGGTGCAGTGGCTCACGCCTGTAATCTCAGCACTTTGGGAGGCCAAGGCAGGCAGATCACTTGAGGTCAGGAGTTCAAGATCAGCCTGGCCAACATGGTAAAACCTTGTCTGTACTAAAAATACAAAAATTAGCTGGGCATGGTGGAGGATACCTGTGATCCCAGCTGCTTGGGTGGCTGAGGCAGGAAAATTGTTTGAACCTGGGAGGTGAAGGTTGCAGTGAGTGGAGATTGTGCCATTGCACTCCAACCTGGGTGAAGAAGTGAGACTCCATCAAAAAAAAAAAAAAGATATACTTCTTTCTGTTATTATTTTTCTTGGAATAGTGAAATGTCTATGTCCTGGAGCGTAACTTCTTTCTTTTCATAGAATAGCCCACATATATCATTTCATACAAAAGAACTGCAACTCAAGAAAGGAGCTATGTTGTCAGCAGGAAACATGTGAAGTACTGTTTGCATGTGAAATCTAACTGCACTCTTACTCAACATGCTCAATGTCAGGTAAGAGCACCCTTGCAGCTAATATAATCTTTACATACTGTCCTCTGCACATCCATTTTCATTTGTATCTAAAGTGACAGATTCACAATTTAAACCCTGAAACTAATTTTCCCAGTTTTTAAAACTCTAAGCTTTTAGACAAGAGCAGAAGTTCTCGAATTAGTTTCTTTTTAAAATTGCTTTAGTTTCTGGCCATGTGATGTCCAGTGAGACAAAGGCTCTTTAGACCACCTGCTCTCCTTGCCAACATCAAAAGAAACAAAAATATATCAACAGCATTAAATGTAAAAGACTCCATGTGGTAGCTAAAAAAATGAAGAAAGTGAAAATAAAAGGGAAACTAAACTGAGTAATATAAAAGCAAGAAAAAAGGACAAATGCGAGGAGAGAAAAGGAAAAGGATAAATAAGAGGGAGAGCAGAACCTGCTTTATATTTTTATGAAGCACAGACCTTCCACTCCTTCTGGCCATTGACTTGGGCCTGGAATCAGTCTTAGATTTAGGCCCCCTTAAAGTCCCAACCAATGTCAAACTGATTCTCAAGAAGCAATTCATTCGCAACTTGCTTTAGCTGTTTAAACTACTGGGAGCATAAGAGGTTCATGATGAGGACTGACTTGTACTATCCTTTACCCATTCACTCCATGCAGACCTGACTACAAGACGCAGCAGACAGAAAAAGAAGTGGTTCCATCAAAGGAAGTACTTTCCATTCCTGTCCTGATACTCTCCTCCTTTGTACTGTTGTGCAGGGAGAGAAACCCTAGGAATCCAGGGGCCAAGACCATCCCTGTTGTTCTGAGGGTTTTGCTCCAGATAAGGAAGTGGCTTGAGAATAGCCATGCTGTCACGTACACTCCCTAAGCGAAGAACCATACACAGAAATCCATCTTAGGCTATTAAGTCAAATATTACTCCCCTTGAAACTAGGTAAAGTTGTAGACCAGCTTTCATTATGTAGTGGTTTTTTTTTTCCCCTTCTACTACTGGAAGAACAGTATGATGAATTCACGGAAAACCCCTGCACTTTCTATCATGCAGCCATGGAGGAAGTGGGTAATAAGGGAATGGCACTCGAGCATTCTAGATCTGCCTGGATGGCTAGTAGGCATTGATTTTCCCCAGCTCTGTGAATCCTAGCAACCCATCAAAGAGAATTACTGGAGAAAATGAGAGAGAAATGTCATAAACCTTGCTTTCATTTTATTCCAGTGGATGTGAGGACTTGTGCAATTTAAGCAGATTATGCTTCCGAACTGAAGCTTGGTTGAGTGATTAAAAGACAAAACAATTCAATTGAAACCTCTACCTAAATTTATCAGCTTAGATTTTCTGAGTTGTACTGTGAAGTATTGTGATAAAATGGGAATGTTTGTTTCAAAGGTAATAAAAGCTATTGATCTACCGTGAAGCAGTATTAGCTTTAACATACGGCTTTTATGATTAATTTGGTGCTGCATAAAAGAAAAAAAACAGGATCTTTTACTTTTGGTGATTAAGGGAGCAGTAGAATTTTGAAAATATATTTTTATGTACAGTAAGAGGAACTCCTTGTAGAGACAGTATACAAAGTGTTGGCTGTTACAGTCCAATCAGCAATTACTCAGTTAAATCAGAAGGCAAAACATGTATAAACTTCTGCAAATTTCATGTAAACATGGGACACAGGAATATACCTTTTTGTGTGAGAGCCAAAGAAGCGTTCATCTGGTCTAAACAATCTGATGGGTTGTATCATGAAATACAAATGTCTGCTAAATCCCACTATTTCTTTCTTAGAAGAGAAGTGCTTTCTAGAGTCTTCATCCCAAGGAAAAGACAGCAGGCACAGTTGAGAGGAGCATGGTTTAGTCTGCCCTCCGCATCTTCATCAGTAATCTCACATAGTGAACACTGAACAGTATAAAATAACATGACTTTCAGCATCAGCCTGCATTTCTGTGCGAATTTAGTAACTCGGAATAGATACATGATCTCAGGAGCTCTTATTCTTCTTTTTCTCATCTCATCAAAGGAAAGAATACATATATTTCAGAGGTATCTTAGTTGTCTTGTATAGTAACCTATAAAGGAATGCCTGAGGCTGGTAATTTATAGGCTTCTGCATACTGTACAAGAAGCATGGTGCCAAGATCTGCCTCTGCTGAGAGCCTTAGGCTGCTTCCACTCATAAGGGAGATGAGGGGAGCCTTTGTGTGCAAAGATCACATGATGAGAGAGGAAGCAAAAGAGAGGGGTGGTGCCAGACTCTTTTCAACAACCATCTCTCATGGGAACTAATGGAGCAAGAATCCATTCTCCACCCAGGGAGAGCATTAATCTATTCACAAGGAATCCACCTCCATGCCCAAGCACATCCTATTAGGCCCCACCTCCAACACTGAGGATCAGATTTTAACATGAGGTTTAGAGGTAACAAACATCCAAACCACAACAAGAGGATAGTTATAAAGATGAAATGAGTTTAGAAATGAAGTAATTAGCACAATAGTGATATGTTGCTTCTCAATAGATGCTTTCTCTCTCCATCTCTGTCTCCTCTCTCCATCTCTCTCTCCTCTCTCTCTCTCCATCTCTCTCTCTCCTCTCTCTCTCTCTCTCTCTCTCTCTCTCTCTCTCTCTCTCTCTCACCCACACACACACACACTCTCTCTCTCTCTGTTCTTATTTGCCTATTAGAATCTTCATGTGATTTGGTGGTTGTGAGGGACAGAGGAGAAGAAATGAGAAAAAACCTTGAAAGGGTAAGAAGGAGCTATTTAGAGAAAAAACATTAGTTAAAAAGACTCTTTAGCCATCTTTCGACAACAAACAACATGCATCCCTGTCAACAAAACTATCTTTTTAATCCCATTTGGATGTTTTCTTCAAGCAATAAAAAGTAGGTTTTCTAAAAATCCATGTATGTTGCTTTCCATTTATATAAGAAATGTATAGCGAGATTACGTTTACAGCTTGCAATGGCTGTTTGTTTCCTTTTTAACCATAGGTACTCTTAGAATATGACTACCATATTTGCATAGATGCTGAATTTGAAAAGTACAATCTTATAAGGACATCATTTGTTCAGAGAATTGTGATAGGAACAATGTTTCTTAAAGTTATATATATATATACATATGCATATATTTTTAAATGTATATAAATATCTATATGTAGATATGCACACATACATACGGATGCCTTTCCCAAGTAAATATAAAGTTGTTCTGCCACAAATGCTTCCTTGGCAGTAAACATATGGCTATTTCAGGCTATCTACTGACTATAAGATAATAACAATAGCTAATATTTATTGAGCATTTATTATTTGAAAAGCACTATAATTAGGACCTAAAGTACATTACCTAATTAAATCCTCACAATTTCTTTGAGAGAGGTTTTAGAATTGTGACCATTTTATAGGGGAATATATCAAAGTACGAAGATTTTTTTTTTATATAACTTGCTCAAACTCATTCCCTTACAAACGGGTCTAAATCCAGGGATTTGAACCCATTTTTACTAATTACAAAATTCAATCTCTAACCCTCTATACTACTTAAAGAGTCAAACGTCGACGGCGTCCAGAGCGAGGCTGGGGTAGGGAGGCTGACTGAGCTGGAGTCGTCCGCTTGTAGTGGAGGCTGCTAGGAGTCGGCCAGAGGGTGAGCGGGGAGCAGGCGAGCGAGCCACAGAGTAGGCAGGAGGGAGCGTCGCGCGGCGCAGAGGAGCGCCGGGGTCGGGCCGGGGCGGAACCACAGCCGGAGTAGGGCAGCCCGAGCCGGGCGCCGCGGGGTCCCCACCCCCACTCGGCCGGACAGTGCCCGGTGTTCCCCCGTGCTGGGGGCGGCGGCGGCGGCGGACGGGACCGCCGGGACCGCGGGGGTGTTGCCACCTCCACCGAGGAGCCGGGGCCCGGGCCCCGTGACAGACGGGCCGAGGAAGGGAGAGAGGCGGCGGCGACACCATGTCATCTCCCAGTCCGGGCAAGAGGCGGATGGACACGGACGTGGTGAAGCTCATTGAGAGTAAACATGAGGTTACGATCCTGGGAGGACTCAATGAATTTGTAGTGAAGTTTTATGGACCACAAGGAACACCATATGAAGGCGGTGTATGGAAAGTTAGAGTGGACCTACCTGATAAATACCCTTTCAAATCTCCATCTATAGGATTCATGAATAAAATTTTGCATCCCAACATTGATGAAGCGTCAGGAACTCTGTGTCTAGATGTAATTAATCAAACTTGGACAGCTCTCTATGATCTTACCAATATATTTGAGTCCTTCGGGCCCCAGTTTTTGGCCTATCCTAACCCTATAGATCCTCTCAATGGTGACGCTGCAGCCATGTACCTCCACCGACCAGAAGAATACAAGCAGAAAATTAAAGAGTACATCCAGAAATACGCCACGGAGGAGGCGCTGAAAGAGCAGGAAGAGGGCACCGGGGACAGCTCATTGGAAAGCTCTATGTCTGACTTTTCCGAAGATGAGGCCCAGGATATGGAGTTGTAGTAGAAAAAGCACCTGCTTTTCAGAAAGACTATTATTTTCTAACCATGAGAAGCAGAGTATAATATTCATGTTTAAACAAAGCAATTTTTTTATTACTAAACAAGGTTTTTATGAATAATAGCATTTATATATATATATATATATATATTATATATCACCCTTTAGATCTTGATTTCTTGGTCATTTCTCAACCTGAGGTGCATAGCATATTCCCACATTCCATTTGGTGGCTATATGCGGTCTGAATGCATGCATTCATAAGTCCATGTGGCCAAGTCAGCCTGTGTGCTACTGAAGTGTCAAAGGAAATAGCCGCTCTGATAGGTAGACAGGAGTAAAAATAACAGGAAAAAGTCGCTTCTTTTATTGATGGTTCCAAAGAAACAAACCAAACCAACGAGCTCTTGGATGTGAAGATAAAATAGTGCTTTTTCGAAATGGAAAGAAAAAAACTGGCGAGGAAGAGGCCTGCTGTGGGAGCGCTTAGAGCCAGCCACACAAGAATGAGAGCTGCTCCTTCCTGTGAATCCTAGGTGGCCCCATGTCTTCTGTGGAGTTACAGTATAAAACAGGGAGCTAATTAGAGTATTAAAACGTAAAACCATTTTTTGACTCTGAAAAAAAAAAAAAAAAAAAAGAGTCAAACCTCATAGGCTACCCATAAACAACAGTTTAAAGTGATAGTCCCTTCAGGAAAAATAGATTGTTTACAGAAAGTTTGCTCTATTCTTTAGAGAATTTCTCTTTTTGTCAGAAAAAGGAATACACAGAGGGGAGGAAGAAAGCAAGAAAGAAAAGAAGAAAATGAAAAGCTGAAGAAAACTTACAAATAACCCAGTGGCAGAGCCAGAATCTGGTTGCTCAGGTGCCTTCTAATACCCTGGCCAGAACTTAGATTTACTGTACCTCCTGCCTTGTCAGAAGCTAACTCTGAGTTAGCTATGAAACATGGAAACATTTGCTTGTTGGGTTACATTTGACCAAATGCACTTGACCTCCTCTGAGTTTGCTCACATTTCCCCCGTCCCCTTCTACCTCTGGCAGTATCTGCTCTAGAACAGGAAAGGAGAATATTTTCACTGCCTTCCTCCCAGACGGGCAGGTGTGTTTTCTGAAGTCACTCCAGAGAGAGATGAAGTGCTTTTCATGCTGGAGACTTTCATCTCTTCTTGGCAGTTTTCTGGAAGTTAGCTTTCTTCTCCCACAGTGGCTTTTAAATGTTTATTTCAAAATTCCTATCTTTTCATTTTTTATTTCCTTAGATCTTAGTCACTTCGGGGAATTACTGTGAAAGGTTGACTGGTTTGTTTTTGTTATTGTTGCTGTTTGAATGGAAAAATGTTACTCTCCCTTTGCTCTTCCTTCACATCCTCTCCCACTCGATTATCAATCATTGATCATTTCTGCCAGTGTATTAATTGACCGATTGAATGGTGGAGTCTCTGGTCACACTTACACTTTGACCTTTTACTCACTGGAGGCTGATGGCTTCCACCGGCTTCAGTCTTTCCATGTTCATCTGCATGCCCTGAAGGAAAAGTGCAATGAGCAAAAGCAAGCTACCGGAGGAAAGGCAGACACTACAACAAATGTGAGACTACAATCTTTCTGTTTGCATCACTTTCTAAAGAGTCAAAGTTCCAAGTCAGAATAATCAATTATCTAAGACTAGATTATAGGCACATGCCTCCCAGAGGACAGGAGGGACTCTTACACCACTTAAGTGCCCATGGGCCCCACTAAGACTTCTTGGTCAGAAGGAAAGTTCCCCCAGACAACTAGAATACAATACTGAGGTCAAGGTAATAAGGCAAACATCCACTAAAAGTCAATGCATTGGCTGCCACAAATAAAAATATACCCCATTTTTTGCACTTATACTTCTGAAAATGTTTCAGTACATAAAAATAAACAGTTCTCAAATTTTTCTATTACTAATAATGCCCCTTCCTTAAAGGGAGATGATCCAAAAATCTCACCACTCTCTGTATGTAGCTTCATGTCCAGCATCTCTGAATGTCCATTCATTTCTCTACTAATTTTTCTATTACCTTATCAGTATTCCGAAGTCTTGACTGCATAGGAAAGTTAAATATGATCATCAAGTCCTCTTTTCAGTAGTGAGAAAAATGAAGAGGAAAAAAGAAGAGAGAGCTTTATAAAACTACATAAATATATGGTATTGCATGGAGGAGAAACAATAGCAATAAATAATGTTACCAATAGATTTTCTGGTTAGTATCATTTCTAACACACTTGATTTTATGCTTGTTTCTATGTTATATCATGCTGTACTAGTAACAATTTTAGAATGTAGATGCCATTGCCATCCACATTTTCAGAGGAACAGAACTGGGGCATAGAGAAGTTAAAAGGCCACAGAGTTAGTAAACCAGTATACAGTCCACACAGCTGGCCTCCAGAGCCTGCCCACACCTGCCCCATGCTATCGCTTCTCCTGTGGTTTTCAGTCCACGGTATGGTTCAATTCTCAATTCTGCAGCTGTACCCAAGGCAGTTGAAGCGATGACATCTGTGATATTTCCTCTTTACTATGCCTCTGTTTAACTTTAGTGATCATCTCACTTAACCTGGTTTCTCTACCAAGTGGAGAGGCCCAAACGTTGGTTACTGAAGATATCAGATCCTTGGATTTATGGCCAGGGTTCTTGTTTGAAGTTGCATTCAGATCCCAAGGACGTCTACCTCTGCATGTAACAATAAGTGTTGATGGTGACCGCCTAGTTCAATTCATGGTATTTTTCTTCCACATTCATTGGATGATAACAACACTATTTTGTCTTCTTAGTCTGGCTGAATCTACACAATCCGTAGTGGAACACTTTTCTTGCCCTTTCATTGACTAGCACAAGCAAACTTAATTGAAGGGCAGAATCCTATTTCATTGGAGAATGGATCTGTTCAGCAATGACAGCAGTCCTCCATCGGACTCTAAAGCCTAAGGTCACTGAGAAGGGAAGCAAATGTTGTGCTGTTACAGGTATGTTTTGTGAAGAATTTCACTCCATTTCTGTGTTTTTCTGCCTGAACCTGTATGAGAAAGATAGCAGTGTATATTGATAGCGTGATCAGTTATTGTGCCGTGTGCTAAAGGCAGCACCACAGACTCCTGGGTCTTGTCTTGTGGTGGCGCTATAACCATGTCTTTAATAAGCTATTTCATCACTCTGTAAGACAAACTGCTTCTGAGAGATAAAAGGTTAAGATCTGTGAATCTCATCGGTATCCATTAATTCTCTAGCTTCCTTTACTATAAATTAAGTCACTTGATGGAACTCCATGTAATTTGCGATTCCATTGGCATCCAGAAATTTTGTCTCATATAATAACACTAGAAGATAAATGATAGAAAAATCAAACCCAAATCTAGAATTAATGTCTATTTGTTCAGACAATTCATGGTGCCCTCTCTGTGGTGAAATAACTACCCTTCCACCAGAGACCAAACTGTTTCCTATTACCTGGAAGTTCCGGTACCACATAAAGGCACAAGCTTTGTTTCACTGTTAGCACATTAGGGATTCAGAGCCAGGACAGCACAGACAATGGGAAGCACATTTATAGCCTCCAATCCTGCCACAAGTCTGACCTTCAACGGACATTTTACTCAATGTGACCACAAGCAAAACTGTGTTAACTGTTTCACTACAGCATGACTTATACTTTCAAGGGACCCACAGTGAACTACGATTTGGGTGAAGTTTCCCAGTGACTCTGGTGAACTCAGATTATCAAAAATAAATGAATAAATAGATTAATTGCAATGATTCCTACCACTGCATTAATCAAAGATAATGAGATGCTTAATTGATTGAACATCATAGATACCTTTTAAAATATAAAAAAGATAATATGGGACAGTTAAAATATATGGAGTCCTATTAATTGTAATTAAAGCTATGTTAACAATCTTAACTAAAAGGTTTACATCTTTAAATTATTCTTCTTCCTACTATTGGGCACCACAATCTGCAGAAAAATTAAAGAAAAATACATTTTAAAAGAAAAGAAAATTATAGAATGAATAATAAAGTTATTTCCCCTATACAAATATGAAGCTCCTGAGAGTGTTGAAAGCTTTTTTTCACCTTTACTCTTTAGTATTATTTGGTAATTATTCAGCAAAATTGACTATTCTTACTTACCATACCCTATTAAATAGTTAATAAAAAATTTAAACAATGATTTCAAATTGTTATTTATTTCAATTATATTCACTCTAATCCTGACCTATGGGTAATTAAGCATTCCATTTCCATAGTACCACATGTCAAAACTACTGCCTTTCCATTCTAAACTTGTGTGCATGCACAGGCCCATTAATGTGATTTGTATTCTTATTTGCATACTTTATTGTAGTAATATTCTGAGTTGAGAGCTTTCTGGAAAGTCTCAGTTAAATAGGCCAGACATTGCCATCTGTTATTCTCATGCTGGAATCACCCAATCCCAGTCATATTTTGTCTTGACAATGGTCATATTTTTGGTGCCACAATAAAAAAAAAGAAAGAGAAGGAAGGATCATGGAAGCAGGGAAGAAAGACTTGCTCACTTTAATAGTTGCTGTCATTGATACATTCCAGACGCGAAACTTCTTGCATCCTCATAAGACACTTAAACATAAAGGATCTCTAGTTTCTTATTATCATCACCACTGAGAAAAATGAGTGAAACAGGGGTCATTTTAAAAAATAACACCTGTGTGCCTGATGTATTTATTTATTTATTTATTTTGAGCTGGAGTCTTGCACTGTCGCCCAGGCTGGAGTACAATGGCACAATCTTGGTTCACTGCAGCCTCTGCCTCCTTTGTTCAGGCAATTCTCCTGCCTCAGCCTTCCAAGTAGCTGGGATTACAGGCACACACCACCACATCTGGTTAATTTTTTGTATTTTTAGTTGAAACGGGCTTTCACTATGTTGGCCAGACTGGTCTTGAACTCCTGATCTCGTGATCCATCCGCCTCAGCCTCCCAAAGTGCTGGGATTACAGGTGTGAGCCACTACACTCAGCCTATCTTTTAACTTAGTATATATTTATTATGGAAGACTTTATGAAAAATAAGAAAACAAGCAATA